GCCGCCGGGCCGGGTCCCGCTGACCGCCCTGTTCCCCCCCAGCTCACGGCCGAGTCCCACTTCATGAAGGACCTGGGCCTGGACAGTCTGGACCAAGTGGAGATCATCATGGCCATGGAGGACGAATTCGGTAACGGGGACGGGGCCGCCCGGTTCATCCCTGCCCGGGGGGGCCGGGCCTGTCCGGTGTGGGGCAGGGAAACCCACATAGAGCCATCACCGGGAGAGGAGCGAACCACACAGGTCCGCTGCTGAGCTGTGTCGGGGCTGCGGCGCCTGCAGCAGTCGGGAGCTGGCCCTGTCCTGCTGTCCCCGAGCTTGGGCCCCTTGGAAGCAGGAATTGTTCTTTTCCACCCCACACTGGCACCACTCGGGAAGTAATGGGGGCAGCAGCATGTAGGTGCTACACTGAGTGTGGAGGCTTCACCTGGGCTGAGCTTCACAGATCACAAATCCCAGATAGTCCAGGCTTTTTCTCACCAGAATTTTTTTCATCCTCAACCCTTAATGCTACTGGAGAAGAAAAAGATGTTTTCTCCTTCTTGATTTGTATTCCAAGTTTCCTTTTACTTCCTTTTGGACTTCTTCATGCTTTCATTTAAAGCTCATGAATTCTGGAGTAGGTGCCTAAATGTCACCTTGGGCCACAGATGTCCCTGGTGTTTGGTCACTCTCTAAGCCCGAGGTGAATGTTTCACTCTCAGAGGCTTTGCTGGCAGCGTGTCTGTAATCCCTGTGCTGGCTGGAGTGTGAATGTGCCCAGGAGTGCCAGAAGGAAGAACTTGGCATTTCTGGGGTGTTCCTGAGCAGTTCCACTGCCAAGAGCCCTCTTGCCCTGCCCTGGTGTTGGCTCTGAGCGAGCCCTCAGCACCAGCCTCAGCCTGAGGGACTTTGGGCACTGCCTGGGGGTCCAGGAATATCCCCCATGTCACACACCAGTGGCTGTGAGAGCTCTGGGAAGGCCTTGGTAGCTTTACTGAGGCATGAGAGGCACTGGCTTCTGCTGTGCCTGCCTTGTCCTGTGTGGGGAGGTGATGTCACTTCAAGCAGCAGTGATGCAGTGTCAGCCCCTGCCCACGTGTCCCCTACCTGCCTGTCCCCTGCCCAGCCCCCAGGCCAGCAGCCATCACTTCCCTTGGCCTTGCCCCCTTTTCCATTGTTTTGGCTAAGTGTGTACCCTTTCTTGCAGGATTTGAAATTCCTGACGGAGATGCAGAGAAGCTGATGTGCCCACAGGAGATTGTAGATTACATTGCAGATAAGAAGGATGTTTATGAATGAAGCAGTTCCTCAGGGCTGAGTGAGTGCAGACATACTCTGGGCGTGCCTTGCCTGGGTGCACACCGGGGCAGGGCAGGGTACCTGTGACACCGTGGAGGCAGTGGGGAGCCTGGCACTTTTTGAGGGAGCTGGCAGCAGCTGTGGGTGCCAGCGGGGAGAGCAAGGGTTTGTATTTTCCTGAGGGTGAGGGGGGTGTTTTCCTGAGGCACTTGCAGCTGGAGGGATTGTGTGGGGCTCAGAGGCCTCTCCTCTTGTCCCACCTGACATGTTGAGCACTGGCTCACCCCGGGGTGTAGTGGATAGTGAATAGGCTTCGGCCATGGCAGCCCATCTCCCCGTGCCCCTTGGTCCTGCAGAGGGTGTGTGGGGGCACCTCAGCCCCCCCGCCACTGCCACCGCTGTCTCTTCCCCCACAGCCACAGCCGGGAAGGAAATGGGCAGGGAAGGGTTATAGGAGCGACAGCCTGAGGGCTGCAGGGGAAATGAGGTGGCCTCGGGCCAGCCTGCAGTGCTGATCCACATTCCTGCCTGTTCCTGTGTGGCTCTGGGCCTCCCCCCACGCTCCCCGGGGCAGGGGGCCTGTGTCCCTTCACTGCTTTGGGCCAGGGTTTGAGCCATGGCCTTTGGAGAGAGCTGGGGGCTCCTTCTGTGCCTGTGTTTGGTGCTCAGCATGTCCTGCCCCTGCCTACCCACTTCTGTGCCTTCAAATGGTTCATGAAATGTTAGACATGGATTGTTTTCCTAGGAGTTGTCCCACACCAGGCCTGGGCTGGTGCCGGCGCGGATGGATGGGAGTGCACACGCTGTCCCGCTGGGGCTTTCATCTGGAAGCTGCACGTGGATGTTGTATTTAAAGCTGTCTGAATGTGTTGTCCTTTAAAAACAAGAAAAAAACAGGAATAAAGAGTTAAGACCATTGTTGTGTTGGTGGCTGTTCGTTTCCACGCAGTGGGTGGGTCCCTGTCTCAGTGTTTGGGTGTGAAGGACTCTGGGGATCAGGGACTGACAGCTCTGGAATTGTTCTTCCCTGCTCCAGGATTGGCTCTGTCCTGCTTGCCCATAACTGTTTATTTCATCAGTGCTGATAAAAACAAGTTCTGTGTGATAGGCTTCTATTTTCCAGATGGAAAATAAAGGGGGGAATGACTTTCCTGATGCTGAACAGCAAATTCATATTGGTGTTTCTGTATGCCTGACTCACCCCAGTGCAGGAGCCTTGCTCCTGAGGCAGGAATGGGTTATTTCTGCACCCTGCACGGTGTTTCCTCTGAGCAAAGGAACACTTTCACATGTCACAGCAGCACTGCCAGGCCAGGAGCCAAGGAAGTGTCACTGGGTAACAGAACTTCTGGCAATGGGGAGGTGAGGATGGAAAATGGAGCAGAGGCTGTGTGTGGTGGAGTGTTCCTGGGGTGTTCTCAGTAGCTGCACTTTACTATGAGACTCTCAGTAGACAAGTGACCCTCTGCCTTCGGGGCCCCGATGTCAATCCCACTGTGAGCAAGGCCTGTGTCCTGGGAAACTCCTTCACAGCTCCACACCCCAGCTGTGCTCTGACAGGTTTTCTGAGCAGTTGCATGGTGGAACTGGAGGCAGGCAGTGGTTTTGGCCACTGTGTCCGTGATGGTTTCCCTGTGGCATGGCTGTGAGGTGCCTGCTCAGAGGCTGTGCTGGCGCTGGGGTGGTCACTGGGTTCTCTCCGTGTGACCCTGAGGGATGTGAGGAACCTGCAGTCAGAGCAGCCAGCGGTGCCCTTGGGGAGCCTTTGCCCTGGGCATGTCCCCAGGTTCCCGGGGACAGCCAGGGACAGAGCAGGGGCAGAGCCGGGTCCGGGCAGCCCCGAACGCGCGTCCCGGGGATGAACCCGTGG